TAGTGAACAGTAAGTGTTGAATCAGTAGTGTTGACTCATCATCCTCTACAGGTAGATAAAACAAAGGGAGGAGGGTAAGTCATTTCCTGGCATGAGACTATAACAACAGAATGTTCCATTTTATCTATATGCTGCCATTAAAACCTGCTTTACCCCTGCAATCAGGCAATGTGCAAAAGCTGAAAGCGCATGAAACCCACACCAGTGAAAAAGATTCTGTTGTTATCCAGGTGTAACAATGGAAGACAATGCATCTGCAGGGTGACAGAAGGCCAGGATGCCAGGAACAGAAGGTCATTCAATCAGTGACTCATTCCCTGGGAAGCACTTACAACAGAGATGACTGCGACCAGTGATGCTGTCAAGTGAGACAGGGGACCAGTATGACGCACTGAGTCAGGTCCCAGCACACCCATCTTTGACTCCCACTCACCCATGACATTTCCAATATGATCCTTTAGCGGTAACATTTCCAGTTGGTGGCTTGCTTACGGAAGTTCCAAAGGCTACCAAATGTTTCTTTATCTAATTTTAAAAGATTGTAAACATGCTTTGATGTTATCAAGGTATCTGATGATGTGAGACTTGCCCTTTCATACAGAACAACCCAATAAGCAACATGCGGTGGTGCAGGGAGATGGTCATCCCTTCTATTTCCCATGTTCAAAGGCAAGTGCTGGTACTGATGTAGTCAAAATGGCCATTCTAACTTTTTCTCCCCCTTGAAGCAGTGTTTGGATGAGACACACATTTTGACATCTCTTCATTGATGATTCAAAGCTGTATGATTGCGAGCACCAATCAACATTCTGGCACCTGCAAATTGAATCAATTCAGATTTCTAAACTGTCTTCAGAGGCGTTTCATACGGGGTGCATGTGCTTACAGCATGAATGGCCAAAGCCAGGTCCATCTTGTCCAGGAAAGTGTGCAGCTGGTGCACCAACTGAAGCCGATAAAAAATGTTCCTAGTCACTATGACCAAGGCTGACATCAAGGGTCACCATGGCTGGGCATCTAAAAATCAACTAGAGGTTCAAGCTTAGATCTCGCTTGGGCCAGAATGGGGATTAAACTGAAGACCTGCTTCATGCAACGCGAATGTTCTACCTAGAGTACCAGTTTCTCCTATCTAATATCTTGTTGGAACTTCCTACTTCCAGCAGGCTTCTGGAGACTGTTTTTAAGGAAAAGGCTGGTGCTGTGATGTTTTCATTGCAATGATCTGTTTGTTTTAATAGCTCATATATATGTGTGTGTGTGTGTGTGTGTGTGTGTGTTCTATTAATGTTTAATTGCTTCCCCTCCCCCAATGTTTTTGGCAGCTTCTATTTTAGCTGTAAGCCGCCCTGAGTCCCCTGTCAGGTTTTTGTGTGTGACTTTGTTTTGAATAAATATGGAAGTACTAGAAAACACACAAAGCAAGATAAATATAGAAGGCCTTATTAGTACAGTTTATGTAATGTGGCAGCAGGAAATTGTTGCATTAATCACCAAAGAACAGCCCACGCAAATAAAGGTATTTGACGTCATCCTGCCTACTTGCATACACACAGCTAGGCAACACAGCAGCAATAGCAGTGAACTGCAGGGCAAGTTTATAAATGCTGGAAAGATACAAGGTGCCACATCAAACCAAGCAGTGTCTGGGAAGAATAGCTGCACAGTTAAATGAGTTTTATTTTAAATCAAAGAAAAAGAAAAATATCTTAAGTTATGTGTTTGTTTAATAAGAATTATCCTATAGAGTGCAAGCAAATCAGGATAATTGATTAAGAAACTGATTGCCTGAAGGGGCTGATAGCCAACATCAAATTTTGTGTGGATGCTGTCAGTGGCTTTACTCTTCAATAATCTAGGCAATCTATTTTCTCCTTAGCTCCTTGGGGATAGATCAGTGACATACAGTATATAATGTTGTTAAATGCTTTTTTCCCTTATGAGACATGCAGATCAAGCTTACACATGTCTACTGAGAAGTAAGTCCTGTTGTGTTCAATGGAGCTTACTCTAAGGTATGGGTGCACAGGAGCGAAGCTTCAGGCATGACTAACTTTAGATGAATCATGCCCAATGTCTTGCCATACCTATGGAAGAAGGAAAGCATTTCTAATGGTATGTAAATGTGAAACAATTCAGTTATGATGTACCTATTCAGAACGGCAGGATCTGTGAATCTCTTAAAAGGCAAGCATAAGTATTTACTACATGCCACTATTTTAGGACGCTGGGTGTTGAAAGCCAGACTGTGCAAACATATGTACAATTAGCTTTGTAAAATCTACAGCCCTGTGAGAATTAGCATGGTATCCAAACTTGAAATTTGCTTGTGTGTGTAGAAATGAGCCGAATGTACAAAGGTATTTTTTAGTTTGCTCAGTTATCTCTGGTCCCACCCACAATAGGGAAGTGCCCTCAGAAGGTTGCCTGGAAGGTTTCATGTGGCCCTCAGAATGAAAAATGTCCCCCATATTGGTTCTAAAGTAAATCTAACAGGGCTATAGCTTCTGGGAGCACCTTACCTGGGGGTAGGTGCTATTCATGTAAGAACAGGGGACAACTACAGCCTAGTGGCTTGTCTTGGGTAAGGTGTTCCCTATCCACTTCACTCTGCAATAGAGCAGGGGTGGAGGGCTTCATTTTCTTCAGATAATCTGTTAGAAGCCACATGCCAGTGGAGGGTGGGCAGAAAGCAGAGGTGGGCAGAACCAGTGCAAAAAACATTTCCCCTCCCTCCCTCTGGCACTCCTCCTCTCTATCTCAATCACCCTTCCCCATCAGTCAATGGACTGCTGGAAGAGCACAGGTCAGGGCTGTCATATGCTTGACCTGCTCATGTACTGATGACCTTTGAAATCAGCCCAGGGTAGCCAGCCCCCTGGGTTTAACAACTGTCATCATTCAGTAAAGTTCTCTGCCATGGGTTCCTACTATCTTTCCAAAACATTTCAATACATATTAAATAGAGGATGTTCTGATAGGAGGTGGAACTTAACAACATCTGGAAGGCCACAGGCTTCACATCCCTGCTGTAACATTGCTTAAATAAGAATGTTAGAAACACAACACAGAAAGCTATTGAAGATTTAGAGACCTGAGCAGATCATAAAGTCTTGTTTCCATAATAGTAATGAGCATCCTACTCTGTGTCTGAGCAGAAGTGTGAACATATTTTTCAGCACAAATGACCATCTAGGGCAGGGATGGGTTATCTCAGGCTTGAGGATTGAATGCCACCCTCCAGACCTTACAATCTAGTCCTTGGGACTCTGCCCAGCCCAGCCCAGCTGTCCTGCTTGAATGACCCTGCATGGCTGGAATGTACCTTGAACTCTAATAACTCTTCTTGCTTGCCTGGATGGAGAAGGAATGTGAGCATGTACAGAAACTAGCCTACTGCACAAAGGTAAAATTCACACTTGTGGCTCCACCCACTTTTGCCTCTGGTCCCACCCGCCACTGACATGTGGCCTCCAGAGGGTTGCCCAGAAGGGAATGTGTCCCTCAAGCTGGAACAGTTTCCCCACCCTGATATAGGTCGATTCACAGGAGGCCAGTGGATATAGAAACACAGATACAAAGTCCCTGCATCCCTGAGTCCATCTGCAATTACTTTCCCTCCTCCTCCTTGTGCGAAACACACCAATGCTCATGGTCTGAAGATTCTGCAGGTCAACAGACTGCTTGTGAACTGGCATCTTCAATATCAGCCAACCCCTATGTCTTTTTGCCCTTTCTCTCTGGTGAGAAAAGCCTGGAACCTAAAGTGTATCACCCTCTGCCAGGAGCCCAAAGCTACTGCCCCCAGCCTTGATACCCTTAATTATATTACAGTGTGGCTTTTAATTCTAAGCTGCTTTGGGAGACAATCTTGGCTGAAAAGCAGTGTGTAAATATAATAAATAATACAATATAAAGAAATGACCTATATCAAGTTGGGCTAATAGTCTGTCTGTCTAGTACTGCCTGCCCTGCATGGTTGCGGTTTTCTTTGTTTTTGTTTGCCAGGGTTCATTGAAGTCCTTTGCTGAATATGCCAGAGACCAGGATGAAGCCAAGATATTGTGCAGGTAAAGTATGTGTTAGACCACTTCATTGCAGCTCTCCCTAGAGAGGAAGGTTCTGGGTAAATTACAGTCAGCTGCAAAGCAAGATGGTCATCTAATTGCTCCTTCCTACTGCTAGCTTAAAGCTTTCAGTCCACAAGGAGGCAGGTAAGAAATTTTCACACACCTCAGTGTGGACTACTTGGCCCACCCATTGCTAAAATGAAGGCATCAGACCACTATTTTGCTGTACATCAAGCTGAAATATGTATTGGAGATGTGTCTTAATCAGAATCAGAATACTGAGTATTTCCAGCCCTCTCTTTACCAACATATATCTTGCAATGTAACCTCAGAAAAGTATATTACCTACTGAACTGCCAGTTATTGCTACCTTCAAGTGCCTATAGGTCCAATGCTAAATCAAGGGTGAGCTCCTCCTTTACTTTAGTGGAGTTCTATTACAGCCTCATTCACCACTCAGCTATACCTCATAAAGCACAAATGGAGGTTTTCTGTTCCACGGTAATCCCCTTCTGCTATTCAGAACAAAATACAGAATAAAAAGCCATCGCACAAAAGCTCAAATCGCAACTTTTCATGGTTCCTAAGCAGGCATGAACTTTTCGGGGACTGTGTTGGCTTTCCTAAATAGAAACGCTCCAGAGGTCCAAGTTTCCTCACTTTCTACTGCAAGCAGAAGCCTATGTGGGGCTTGCAGTGTCCCCGCAAAGGAATCTCGACCCCTCGAAGCCTTGTAGCCCTCCTGTAGTTGTAGAGGAAGGAACACGCCCATAGCTCAAGCTGAGTAGTCGGAGTTTTTCAGCGCCACAGCTGCCGGACAGCGCCCGAGCGCCGCTTCGACATCACCCGCGTTCGGGAGCCCCCACAGAAAGCCCATCGGCGCTGGTAGGGCGAACCTTTTAAAGACAAAACCAAATAGGCGATACTCACATTGTTCCCCTTTTTATAGTCTCGGCTTTCCCTTTCTCTCTCTCAGTCGCCAGCAAAGATGGCTTTCCAGTTCTCCTTCTGATGCAAACAGCCTCTTAGAATTGTAGGCACTGTTGCTGAGGCGAAGGCACAAGCTACTGAGCATGTCTGCACCTCATCGCTCCCACCCGCGAAGACGAGGAGTCAGTGCGCCGCTTTCCACCTTCTGTATCAGTGGCAGTCCCAGGGCAGCCGGCAGGGGTGGAGTTCTGAATCCCTCTCCTGCCTGGAAAGAAAGAACGAAGCGTAGCGTTGGTAAAGAGGGCTAAGCATTGAAAAGCCAACATCTCTTTTATTTCTTACATTTGAATCCCAGCTTTCCTCCAATGAGTTCAGGGCTCCTCCTTTCCTCTCTCACAACAATCCTGTGAGGTTCGGCTGAGAGAGACCGTGACTAGCCCTAGATCACCCAGGGAGCGGACTTGAACTTGAGTCCCCCCCAGTTCTGCACAATGCCCTAATGCAGCCTTTCTCAACCTTGGGTCCCCAGATGTTGTTGAACTGCAACTCCCATCACCCCTAGCTAGCAAGGCCAGAGCTCAGGGATGATGGGAGTTGTAGTCCAACAACATCTGAGGACCCACAGGTTGAGAACCACTGCCTAATGGTTAGAGTCTAACTAGTAGAGCACCCTGGCATGACAGAGTTACACTTTGTGAATTCCAACCCAGATTACAAAAATGTCCTGTGCAACAAGCACATGACTGTTATGTGATGTTGCCAACTTTTGGGCCAGCCCCTGGTTGCTGTGTCTTTAACAGCAGCAACTAGTGGTGTTTATCTTCATGCTGTGAAAAGCTTCACCTTTGGAAGATGCAGAAAGCACTTGCAACATAGGCTTCAAAGGAAGGGTCAGCCCATCATTCTACTTGGATGCCCCGAGAGTGTAGGGTCCAGTTTTGAATGGGGTTTTGTTAAAGAACTTAAATGTGTTCATTTCAGAACATGTCCCTTTGATGCACTCTCAGGTACCATAGGATGTAAGCTCCCAGTATCTAACAAGAAGCACCATCCATTTTATCCTCCTACAAAGCAGTTTCCTAGTAACATGAAGAAGAGAATGAAAATACTTAAACGTTCATGTTACATCGAACACACTGAAATGGCTCCGACTGACAAGCATTTCCCAGTCCTTCATGTATATTTTTTGTTTTAAAGGACCCCTGACCATTAGGTCCAGTCGTGACCGACTCTGGGGTTGCGGCGCTCATCTTGCTTTATTGGCCAAGGGAGCCGGTGTACAGCTTCCGGGTCATGTGGCCAGCATGACTAAGCCACTTCTGGTGAACCAGAGCAGCGCATGGCAACGCCGTTTACCTTCCCGCCAGAGCGGTACCTATTTATCTACTTGCACTTTGACGTGCTTCCGAACTTTTCAAACATGGGCAGGAGCAGGGACCGAGCAACGGGAGCTCACCCCATCACGGGGATTCGAACCGTCGACCTTCTGATCGGCAAGTCCTAGGCTCTGTGGTTTAACCCACAGCACCACCCGCGTCCATTTTTTTTGTTTTGTTTTAGGTACTCAATAAACATTGTCCCTATATAAGTGTACATTATTGAATCAAACTGCCAATATATGTTATTTCCATGGCTCAAGGATTCTAATACATGAGACTCTTAGAATGGTCATAAATGAAACATGTGTCTACTAGGGAGGCATGACCATGGTCACACCTCTTGACAGGCAGCATGGCCTATTGGATAAAATAAAAGTTTGAATTGTAAAAACAAAACAAACAAAAATTAGTCATGTGGCTATGCCCTTGGGATGGAATTCTGTAAGTCTCCCCCCCCCCACGCACTTTGCTCAGGTGAGCTTTCCTCCTCTATCCCTCCCACCCCCATTTTGCTTAACATCTGCATTGATGAAGAGCTCTGGAGAACTTGAAAGCTTGCTCACAATTTTGTTAATTTTTGGTTGCTCCTAATGTGTTTTTATATTTTGTTTGAAGCCTCCTAGAGCGGCTGGGGCAACCCAGTCAAATGGGCAGGAGTACAAATAATGACATCATCATCATCATCATCATTCCACAGTCACTGCTACCCATCTCCTCCAGCTAACAGAAAGGAATGTAAAAAGAGTAATAAAAGCCCCCTCTCCATCTCTTATCATACCGGTATATATAACTCAAGGGTCAATCTTAAGTTGTAACATACCTTCTCTCATGCAATGTTCTCATTGCAGGTTTTGGATCTCTGGTGACCAGATGCCAAGGAGTATAGGTTCCTATGCCTTTAAATGGTTGTATAGAAGAAGAAAGGAATTTTGGCAGGTGTAGCTCATTGTGCAGTGATGAGAAAAGCTGCGACTGAACCTTCAATTTCTCCCAACAATTAAAGGAACAGGGAACTCAGTCTCCTATCCATAAGTGCATTGGAATTTACTTTGACCAACAAATATTTGCAGAAACTGCATACTTTACTCCAATGAGGCCTAGAGAAACTGGCTCTCTGAATATTTTTTTACTTGCAGTAAAGCAGTGTGGTTAAATAGCACACTTAGAACTGGACTCCCTGTGTTGAATGTCCAAGTATGATTAAGCCCAATGATATTATTCCCAAAAGTATCAAAGTTCCATAGTAAAAGACTGTTATAAGAAGTCAGAAATTCCCCAGATACCTGTAGCAGTCATTATAAGCTACAATGTAGCTTTAGGAAGTGATGCCTGAGTTTTCTTGTTTTCTCTTCCATTTTGTCTCATGTCTTTCCGACTGCAAGCCTGTGGTCAGGGTATCTCTTGGTATTATTGAGCTTAGAATCATAGAATTGTAGAGTTGGAAGGGACCTCTAGGATCTCCTTGTCCAACCCCTTGCAATGCTGGAATCTTTTTCTCAACATGGGGCTTGAACCCACAGCCCTGAGATTCTCATGCTCTGCCAACTGAGTAATCCCAGAGCTCCCCCCTACCCACCCACAAAGCATTTCATTCCTGAAGAGAAAGGAAAAAATACTACAAATAAACAAATAATTATAAATAAGAGTATGCAGGTAAATTTTATTGAGGTGCCACAGGTATAAAAGATCATGCTTTCAATAATTAATACTGAGATATGAAGCCTGTCTACATTTACACAGATGTACATCTCAATGAATTAAATTAATTTACTCCCTAGTAAATGTGGATAAGACTGTAAGTTTTAAACAGCAGTTGATACCCTACAGCAGTTATTTTACCTTAGGAAAAAGGAGATCATTACTGGAAGAGAAGGGCGTCACTGGCTGCATTTGGATCACATTCCTTCCCTTGGTGAATTCTGAGCACCGCAATTTATCCCTCAAAATGTTAGCATTCTGAGCAAACTACAGTGCTTTAAAGGTATAGTGCATACGCAGTGCCTCCAAACCAACAAACCAACAGAGGAAAGCTTCGATACCATGAGCAATCACAACAATTCTTTTTGCCTCATTCACTTTGCTCTGTCTTAGAGCCATTGGAGGTAGTATTCATAGCTGATAGGAAGCTACCTTATCAAGTCAAACCACTGGTCCATCTAGCTAGTTCAGTATCTACAATGACTGGGAACAACTCTTCATGAATTCAGGCAGGGATCTGTCTTGATCCGACTTGGAGATTGAACCCTCACCCTTAGGCATCCATGTGTTCTGCTACTGAGCTGTGGCTTTTCTTCTTCATGATCCACCAGGTCAGAAAGCATAGAGCCTTTCTCTCATTTGCAGAGGTGATGTCACAAAGGGGTGGGACTTAATTACTGCTGGTAAAATCTGGATATTTGGCAGGTGATGAGAATAGTAAGGTGAGGAAGTCTCTAGGGTGAATTGAAAATGGGGCTATCTTCCCCTGTTTCTGAAAAGGGATTTCAATCTGGATTTTGGGTAAATATATTTCTTAATGTTAGAAAGAGAGAGAGAGAGAGAGAGAGGATCTGCCCAAAGACCCCAAACCTATAAGACTATGAATTTCACTGTCAGACTGGGCCCCCTTATGCAATTCTATAATTCAATAGCTTCTTAAACAGACTATAATTAAGGAATAGTCATATGATGTAGTTTGGGACTACAGTTTAGTGCAGGAATAGGAATACTTTGCAACTACTTTTCAAAATTAGTTTTAATTATCTGTTCTTAGAAGTAATTATTGGGAAATGCTTCCAGATCTGACAAATCACCAGGATGAGCCAGAGGTACTTACTGGAGACCGAGAGCAAGTGTAAACTGTGGGGCAAGTCCATCAGCCAAAAGTAAATACAATTACTAAAATATCAACTGGAGAGCAGAGAGACTAATGCAATTAGAGTAGGCAAAAGGATCTGTCTTGGAGATGCAGTGACACGTCGCGGAAATGAAGACTAATCAGTTGATTTACCAAAAGGAGAAAGAAATTGTTTATATGCAGCACCCTGAGCCACAATTCACTTTCTGGCTTTGCGCTTGCTTCATTACAAGAACCAAATTCTCCTTCCCATGCTCTGCATACACGGGAGACTTTTGATGCTTCTACCACTGCTCTGCAAGGGTCATTTGGAAAGGGAGAGAGGCAATTTTTAAACTTAGCAACCATTGCTGCTTCTGATGTGTTGTGTTAAGAAGTAGGCACACCTGGCCATCTCTTCTTTCTTAGGGATCCCTGAAGCTGGAGTTTTCATTGCCTGAGACGCGCTGCTTTCCAAAGATGCCTGCAGGTTAGTACGCAACTTGGACTTATGGCCATCCCTCCCTCCCTTGGGGAGTAAGCTCCTTATGTGCAAACATGATGATCAGAGAGCATACTTTTGCATTTTGCTCTGCCATTGAGACAGGTCGGAGTTTCAAGAAGTCAAGAAGGGAAGAGGGCATCGGTGATGCAAAGCACTGCAGGAAAAAGGATGGGCATCTCTTTAAGAAGAGGCTTTCAACACTCAGTCTCTTTTCTGGACCTTCACGGAATGTGATGTAAGTGTTTCTCTTTTTAATATTTTATTTCTAATGAAAATTAAAAATGCTAATTTAAAATTGGACACCGGAGCCATTGTGAACACTGAATAATCATGAAAGGGGGGAAAAGGTTGATCAACTAAACAGCCGAGACAGACAAAGGGCGGCAACATCAAAGAGTGCCATATTTTCAGGTGGCTCCATTGCCTTGAGCAGCAGCTTGCTGTGCAGACGCCAGCAATTAATAACATCTTTGGGATCTTTCAGACCGTTGCTATTTTCGAGTGGGATTCATTTACTAATTGGCAAATTCGGTTTGCACAATTACAGC